ACATGTCTTCGAAATATTTTTTTCCTATTTCTCAAACATGGAGGTTTCCTTACGATGTTTTCCTTCACCGCCGAGCTCATGGTAAATCAGCACTTAAAATTGCAATTAACAATTTCATTGGTGCCGGCGAGGATCGAACCCAGTTCACTCGCGTACTGTGAAATTCACAGCGAGCGCTAACCATCTGAGCTACCACGGCTCCTTCGTACCACGGAAGATTCGTTACGGTCATATATATCTTAGGGTTACACTACCGGGAATATATAGATGGATAGTCAACTATGACCATCTGTATACGGACTTGGCATGTGATTTGATGTAGATTGTATTATATACAACATCGAATTTTTTAAAATCTTTATTGAATACCACTCCCTATAAGTCTGATTGGAAAATAAGTCCTACAGTTACCATCGTCCTACTTTGGTCAAACCGCGACCTCAGTATGTTCATTATCAAGAAAGCCCTTTCTAAGCTTACGTATTGTGACGGGCAACTACGAAACCATACTTCTACTTTGTGTGTGGCCCGACACGCACTTGGCCAGTTTTTACTGTTTATATTTATTATAAAATAACAGACTACGAAATAAAAAAATCGGGATTTCAAATTCGCCACTCGGCTATTAGCGTGCACCACTAACAACACAAATATTTAGAGCTAAATTAGGGTAGTAACGGAATATCAGTAGTAACGTTTTAAGAAAACATGACAGTGTTACGTTAACTAACAAACGTCGAAGTCGTTATCATTCCTGCATAGAAAATTACTAAAATGTTAATTCTAATTTTCAAACGTGTTAATCAGTTATGAAATCGTTATTAACGTCAGAACAAGTTTTTTATACGACCCTACCTTGTTTTCTCCGAAGGAACGACTATATTTGAATTCAAAGGATGGTTAATATTTGTAACTACAACTGTACAACCCTCGTACAACCTTCCTAAAATAGCCATCACTAATAATATGCTATAGGTATATGTACATATGCTCATGACTCATTAGAAGATCTCTAAAACTTTACACTCGCTTGCTATGAAATTTAATATAGTTATTCATTTAAGTCAATCCCTCAAGTAATTTTTATACTTTTGTAAAATAAGAATTTTTTGTAGCCTTTTAAGAGAATGTTAACTATTGAATAAAACTATTATTTACGGATTTTATCGCGTTTAATTACTGTTTTAACTTATTTTAATTATCCCGACGTTTCATTACATTAGATTTGATAAACCACAAATGCTCGCAAAAGAACACCCATTCCTACCAAGGATGATACGTGAGGCTATTGAAATTAAAAAACATCCAAATTGCAATAGAGAAGATGGATGGGTGCTGCCATCTGTTTGAGATCCTATAATTAACAAAATTAAACCCAAACCAAAGTATGCCACTGCAAGACTTCATGATACTATAAGCTCGTTTTGAGTATATCGGACCAAAAATTAATATACAAAAACTGAAAGTAGCCGGACTAACTATGACACTACTTAGGACGTCAAACATCGCAGTCCCCCCCCCCCCCGAGACCATGGGTGCTGTAAAGCACCCGAAACGTCGGGATGATAAAGTAGAATAAATGCTGTAGAAATGCGGTCTTTAAGGATATGCTAGAGCTGAATCTGAATGATAGGGTGAGAAATTGCGTGTTAAGAGAAGAATGTGATGTGCAAGATGATGTTGTGACCAGGATTAAGAAAAGAATGCTTCGATGGTTTGGGCACGTAGAAGAAATGAACGAAGAAACAGTAACAAAGCAAATTTATATTGCGGATGTGAACGGCAAAGTCGGGAAGGGACGCCCTAGACGAAGGTTTATCGACCAAATTGGCGATATTTTGAAAATTGGATTTTTACCACCACATTAGGAGTACTCCTTACAACTGACGAGCGTGTATGCGTAGATATATGGATGTAAAGAAGGCGATGGAGGTATGTCAGGATCGTGCCAAATGGAAGTCCGTATTTTCTGCCTACCCCTCTGGGTACCAGGCGTGAGTATTTATGTATTTAATAAATGTTGCACACGAGCACACATACCCGATAATAAGTATGTACATGTTGCACTACATTTTATCCTCGCTTACGAAGCAGAATTATTTTTTGTCATCCCTGAGGTCATGGTATGCCTCGTTTCCAGTAAAAACTGTATCCGGTTTTCTCATTCACCCTACGAAATATAACCCCTTCTAAGTTCACGTATTGTGACGGGCAACTACGGAACCCTACCTCTACATTGTGCGTGGCCCGACGTGCACTTGGCCAGTTTTTTTTTATTCTAGCCTAGATATGCGTAAAATTGGATAAGAATGAAACAGTGATCGCCATTGTTTTTACGCCAATACTAAGGGATTTTTTGTCCTCCTCTATTTTCTGTATTATATTTTCTAATATTGCCAAAGATAATAAATAGCCTTTATGTATAACGACGGGAGTGCAATCAGCGGGATAAATTATAACCATTTTTGTTTGTTATTTATTTGCACCAGACTTATTTTAACTAACAACGATTCTATAATAATGTTATGTTACTAACCAATTTATGGACTCTTGTCTGAAATAAATTTAAATTATTATTATTATTATTATAAAATAAATAAATAAATAATTAAGCTCTCCAAACCGAATTTTGTTTAAGTCGGCCATCCTAACGGAGACTGACCATCAGGTCAGGACAAGATTAAAGTGGTCGAATGTATGCGCAGACACAGGTGCATTCTTTATCCCTTCACTAGATAGTCCAATGGGATGGCAATCCCACACGACCGGAGAGAGATCAGCGCAAGTGCAACGGATTTTACGTACTTTCCGAGGTACGAGGAACACCGCTAACTTTCTTGATGCGTGCATATTTTTCCCTTTGCATTTGTATATTTCTTTGTTAAAAATGTATATATCAAATAAATATTTCTTTAAATAATACTAGTTTTTACGGATTTTATCGCGTATAGTAACTTTTTTTATGTACTCGACGTTTCGAGTACTTTACAACACCCATGGTCACGGGGGGGGACTGAGATGTTCAACATCCAGAAACGTCGGGTATATAAAAAAAGTTAATATATGCGATAAAATCCGTAAATACTAGTAGTATTTAAATGTGTAGTGTTCGCGTAAATATAAGAAATCGTAAAATATTTCTTTCTTTCTTTTTTATTTCCTGGTTCCAATCTGATACTGAAAATTTCTTGACAGAAAACCCCAATAACTGATTTTGGACCGACCAGGGATTCGAACCCGGGACCTCATGATCGGCAATTATGTTTACGACCACTAGAACAACGAGTCAGTCAATAGTATAATATATTATGTCACACATGTGTTATATACCTAGTAAATCATAACTATATCGATATATGGATATAGTTATGATTTACTAGGTATATCAATAGATAGATATTAATTAATACATTAATCAATTCAATCTCACCGGAGGGAGGACACCGACGTTTTATGTCTTATCTGTTATATCAATTTAGGTTAAAGCCATATGTTTCTGGTAACAACTGAATAACAATAAAAACTGGGGCTGCCAACCCGCTTGCCATGCGTGGCAACTGTGCCGAATATCCCCTATATCAGGCAGTCTGTGGAAGAAGCATAATATCTTTAGCAGTTGACTTTTGATAGGCTGTAATATTAAAATTAATGATGCTGTCATCACTGATGAAACCCTGATTTTAACACGCTATATAGTTGCGAGTTCTGGGCTCAATTTAACACTACCACTAAATTATCTTTACAAATTGTAAATTAAAAAATAAATTATTCTACATCTCCAATAGTACATCATTACTTATCAAGTATAGCTGTTTTAAGATGACTTTGATAACACTTCATGGAATCACATGAAAAGCAACATATTTTTTTAATACGGGTAAGAGTGACAAACGAGCAAAGTGTTTAGTGTGGCCCATATATATCTACATCCTCGATTACGAATCAAAATGTAGATGCGTTGTCACTCGTGAGGACTAAGATGGAATGCCTCGATTCCAGTAAAATTGGTCTCGTGTAATATATTTGTATTACTTCTTAACAAAAAAAATACAAAAAATTAAAAAGCATTCTACTTCTCCTAAAATGCGTGATACCAAATGCACTTAGACTATTGCATTGCATTATAATAGAAATTATAATAATCCTAATATACAATGAAATAACTGCTAGTTAGAAGCTATAATAAATTGCAAACTGGTATTATAAATGCGAAAGTGTTTTTGTCGGTTTATCCTTTTATCACACAGTACCTAACAGGGCAACGGATCGACATGAGTTTTTGAATAGTGATGGTTTATAGGCTGAAGAGTGGCATACGCATTCTTATTCTTGAAGAATGAACAGTTCCCGTGGCATAGATCCGGAGTGTGATTCTGTAATTAACCATTTGTGCTGTCTTATTGACATAAATATGAATCTTGAAATAACATATTGTCTGAAATTTTTCGAAATGATGTCATTTTTAAACCACCACATAAAAGGTAAATATTAATATTAGAGAAGTGAAATCTTGCATTACTTTTATTTTACTAAGATACAATTTAAACAAGCTTTAAGTTGTTAAATAATCATAATTTTATATTATAATTAAGTTAAAATTTTTATTAATATATTCGTTGAGAAATTATAATTTATTGACACCATAGATCAGTGATGCGCCCACCTCAGTAGGCCAACGATTAAGTAACCAATATGAGAATTAATTCAGTTTAATATTATATCCGTTAGAAGAGGAAAGATGTACGTATAACCTGTTTGACGTCGCAGCAACGCTTCGTATTCAAAGTAACTATACCACATTGATATAAATATGAAGGAGATGACCGAAACTGCACAAACGAGCTTGGCTTGTTAGTGAGGAGACAAGCAAAGTTACGTGGCCAGCGATTAGCTAATAACTATGGCTACATTTGTAAGTAAATACGTTTTACTATAAATAAAAAGCGACAAATATAAAAAAAAAAACTAACAAAGTCCTTTTCTTATTTTTTCAGAAAAACTTGGCATTTTTAGCAATTGTACTCAGTAGCTGTAATGCTGGTATCCTACATGACAACAGTCACGGAAGCCTCTCTGTCCCACCACCGCCACCACCACTAAATGTTCTAAATCCGCCTAACTCATTTTCCGCCTCCTCGAGCTTCTCTCCAAGCAGTTTTCCATCTGGATCTTTACCTTCAGCTACGTTCTCAGGTCATGGATCCATCGGTGGTGGTTTCTCGTCCGAATCTTTTGAGGGACATGGTATAGGTTTCGGTGCATCTGGAGATTCCGGGCCCATTCTTGGTGCAGCAAGTTTACCTGGTGCTACTGGAGTTAGTGGACCATTGGGAGGGCCATTAAGCGGACCTTTGAATGGACCAGGACCTTTCCTAGGATCTTTGGTAGGAGGCGATGCCCCACTTGCAGGTCTTAGGGCGCCCGTCATCAATGAAATCCACGGTCTTGCCAACAGGAACGGAGCCCCAACTCAATATCGTGTACGCGATGAACCCTATCAAGTTCTGCGTCAAGTTACACACAGAGTACCTCAGCCCGTACCTGTGCCTGTTCCTCAACCTGTTCAAGTGCCAGTCCCGCAACCATATCCCGTTCAAGTGCCCGTCGTTAGGAATGTTCCAGTACCGGTGCTCCAGGTTCAACATGTGAAGGTGGACAGACCAGTGCCTTACCCAGTAGAAAAAATCGTCAAAGTACCAGTCGAGAGAGTTGTTCAAGTTCCGGTAGATCATCCGGTGCCAGTGGAGAAGATCGTTGAAGTCCCCGTTGTTAAGCTGGTGAAGGTACCAGTACATGTGGTGAAAACTTACCCCGTCCCGGTAGTAAAAACAGTCCATCACAAGGCGCACGTTAGTCACGGACACGGCTATGCACCCGGATTTGGACACGGCCATAGCTACGGCCACGGACACGGCTGGTCGTTGTGGTGATTCAAATAGCTCATCTAACATCATTACACCTCTTTGTTAGTCCAACTTTTGTAAATATTTGACACCGTTAGCTCATCGAGAGGCTGCAATGTAGGGTGATAACTAAGTCATTAAGTTAGGTCAATGAATTAATCGTGTATTCGTTTATTTTTTTTAACCTCGTTTTGTACATAGTAATATAGGCTTTATTACTTTATTAAAACGATTATCCAAAGAAAATGCATTTTACTTAAATGAGACATACCTTTTTTATTATTTGATTATAAATTACTAACTGAAGTCAAATAAATTACAAATCAAACCGCCTGCGGAGCGTAGTAACTGTGGCAAATATGGCCTTTGGGCAATCTATGGTAGAGCCTAGTCTATAAAATTTATCATCTTGCTGTTTAAAACCGCTTATGAATTACTTTTACACACAGAATTACACATACACTATTACAACTTATAACCTACTTATTATAATAAGTAAGCTTGATTTCAATATGTTTATTCGATTAAAGGCTTCGGTAAACTCCGCAAACTTAGCAACATAAGGCATTGCACATAAGGGACCCGTAATAACTTATTCATATGCCAATTTCATTTGCACGCGTTATAACTCATAACCTTCTTATTAAAGTGCCTGCTTTGACGCTCGATAAATGTCCGAAAATTCCGAAACTAAGATCCGCTGCCTGATAGAGGGCAGCAATGCCCAGTGTAATAGCATATCAGCTTTATTAATGATATCAACATCAGCTTTTTTAATAACTAAGGATGACAGAAAGGCACACAGTCTATCTGGTGGAAATTCATGTCCATTGATACTACGGCTACCCTCCGTTAAGAATTAAAATGCAGATGCCGTGAAAATATAAAATCCGTAACGTAGGTAAATCTTTTATCGTCTTATCATCATATGATTTGAAAATATCATGTAGTATATAAAGTAACATATAGGTTAAGTTAAGTTACATAAGTAATTAAAATGTATACTTACGAAAAAAGTGTATATTGTTTTTTTTTAACTTACCCTACATTTTTGGCAAGTGTGTATGTACAGAAATATTCAGCAAAAGCTATATTTTAAATTTTGTAAGGTAAGGTATTTAAAAATTTAAAACGGGAGCTGAATTTTCTTTCACATATTGCTAAGTCTGGTACTGGCCAGGTCATTTTCTTACTCAGCGTGAAGAGTATAGTAAAATATTGAAAGCTATGCACGGCCATATGCCAGTAAGTAAATTCTTCAAATGGTTACTATCTAGTGGTGAATTAGGAGGGGTTAATAAAGAAGATAATTAAGTAAAAAAACTGTTATTAAAAATAAAATTAAAATACATATAATAATTTCATCCACTCACCCTTATAAAAAATAAGCTTAAATAATGTATTTGGCAAGAAAAAATAAACTATACATACATGCTACATATAATTACAATTAAATTTATCGATAAAATCTTATAAAAATCATACGTCGTGTTGATCGGTTGCAAAAATTAGTTACATACTAAATGAATTAAGTCTACTGGATCACCCTTAGGCTACACACCCCACAGGGCGGGCCCCACAAGGATCAATTTTGGGACAATTACTCTCTTTTAAAATAGTAAAGATATTAATAGTTACTTAGCATCTATCTGCCCAATAAAATAAAATAATGTGTCTTATCTAGTTTGAAGAGCACCTCCCACCCTCGCTCAATTGCGTGCACTAATAATCCCGGCAAACTACTCCTAACTCCGGCACCACTAATCCCAGCACCACCAGAAGTGTTTTCGAGGTGGTGCCGGGATTAGTGGTGACGGGATTATTAGTGCACATAATTGAGGGAGGGTGGGAGGTGCTCTTCAAACTAGATAAGCCACATCATTTTACTTAATTGAGCGGATGGTTGCAAAATAACTATTAATATCTTTACTATATTGGATTTCCGCAAAGTAACACCTGATTCTATCAATTATCTTTTAAAATATACAAAAATGATCTTCCTGTCTACACTAAAATCATAAGTGAAACAGTTTTTCTGTTTTTTGCTGATGATACCCTTCTAGCGTTTAAAATTGATGGAGGTAAAAGCTCATTTCGATATAAGTGATACCAATAAAATGAAATGCATTAAATTATTACAATTTACTCTCGCCTATGATGAGGGTCTAATATTGATGCCTTGTCAAGAAGACTTAGCTCCACCGTGTATGGAGTAAAAAAGATAAAGCATCAGATATGGGTACAAAAAGATTAGTTTAATTCAGCTGTTTCTACAGTGTTATTTACTATGATTATTTTAATGAAGATCAGAAACTGATATTGAAAATATATTTATACAACATAAAAGGGCTGTACGTGCTATTTACAATATTGAAACAAGGGACTCACTCAGATACCTTTTTGAAGATATTAACATCTTACTACCTACCTTTGCATTACAATCCATTTTGGACTGTATTATATAAGTAAAGAACTATTTTATTATCTGTTTCTAAGTACATATTCTATAAAACTAGCAGATCATTTTTGGATATGGATTCATAACAAGATTTCTTGTAACATTACTGACTTATCATAAATTCAAAGCGCATTCTTGTGAAAGAAGTATATTATAAATTAGGTGACAATTAAAAAGATTAGAATGCGTCGACGTAATGAGTTTTTTAGACTTTTTACTTATGTGTATATTTTATAAGGTAAAATTGTAAGTGTTGGAAGAGAAATAGTCTGTTTGTAAGTTTCTTCCCACTTCTTTTTACATGGTCTCCCCGTAATAGGGACTTATTGAAGCGATGATATAGCATTTGACTTTTAAAAGGTGCTTTGTAAAAGACAATTTTGAGTAAAAATGTTTAACTTTGCCTTCGACTTTGAAATAATATTTGGGAATCTTCCCCATTATAGATGAAGTTTTACAATTAAGCGATGCTGCAATTTTTTTAAATACATTTACAATTCCGTTTCTAAAAATAATTTTAATGATTCTAAACTTTGCCAATATACTAGTAACTTAGTATGTGATTCCACAAGTAAGTCGTGCGAGGAAGAAATCAGCTAATAAATTGCTCAGAGATGGATCGCCTAACATTTTGGTTGGTGTAGATGTTATCGGCATCGCGATGTGTGATGGAAATCCATGTAACGCCAAACTTGCGCCTTATAAAGTTGCAAGAAGTGTGCCGTCATGAAATATTATTTCGATCTACTGAGTACTTTACAAACGGACTTAACATTTTAGAGGCTAATTTAATTTACCTTTTAAAAATCGCCACGGATTCAAACATCACTCAACAAATCGACGCTGAGGAATCCGATGCTGGCTTCTTAGCCCTTGCTGTCTCCAGCAAGGGAAGTGTTCTAAAGTAAGGAGATGGTACTTTCTTGAATTATTTTTTCAAACCTTCGAAGCGAAACAGTGAAAATCACAATTTTCTTTTAATGAAAATCGTCTCGAGTTCATCTATCATTGATTTTACTTTTTAAAATGTTATGAATATGCAGAAATCCATTAACCAATAACCAGTTTTGGATGGATTTACAGTCTATAAGATCATCAGAGCTTCGTCAGTCAGTCAAAGTGCCACCTTTATTATTTCCTCTCAAACAGTAGACATAGGAAAAGGCAATAAAATATATTTCCTTACAGCCGGAGAATCACATTGTAATAATTTAATTTAAAATGATATCGAATATTTACTACTTAAATGCATTATGTTTACAAAATATTAGTAAAATATAATAAGAAAAAGAATGAGTAAGAAGAAGAAGAATTGATGATACATGCAGAGTCGATGATGACTCAGGACCATATTATGTGGCAACTTGCGTGAAAAGCCATTGTTCAGCTGTAGACTTGCGTAAAACGTACATGATCACGTAAAGTAAAGTTAGAGCTTAAATACCTCCCACTGTTGGCCCTGGACTACTCTTTTTTCTAAGAGAGTCAAAACGACAAGTATATCACCGCCGCATGACTTGCCATGTCTTCGAAATATTTAATTTTTTTTTATATGCATCTACACTTAAAACCATAGTTAACATTTTTTGGTGGCGGCGGGGATTTTACCCTGGTGGCACGCGTTCTGTGAAATTGATGTGTATCGTGAAGATCTATAATATAACAATATTTATATTAGCGATCCATTCCGGCTTCGCACGGGTAATATCTGAATCTCGATAAATGTGCCACCTACGGGGTCCAATTAAGTTTTCAAATCATTCAGGGGCCCACTCAAATACACATAAAATCATCAAAATTGTTGGAGCTGTTTTCGAGTTTTAGCGTAGTTATATACATATATTCATACATATATAGAAAATGCCATTGTCATTTCCATTACTAATTAATGTTTTATTGATGCTATCGTTTTGTTATTATTTGAAATGGTAATTTGTATTAAGCTATTTTTTGCACGTTGGGAAGTAAGAGAGCATTTTACTGCCAATAAAATGTGGAGCAGTTTGACAGATTGTAAAACTGTAGCAGTGTGAAATATTATGTGAAATTAATAAATGAGCTACCTATGCTGGATAGCTATAATAATGATAAGGACGAAGATGAAATATTTTTGAGACTATTCTCATAGAAGTCAGAAAAACAAATGAGCACACAGTTCATATGATGGTAAGTGGATGTCGTGGCCTATAACCAACAACTTAGAATCAAAATGTTACGATGTCACCCTTGGGGACTTCAATGAAATATTTCGTTACATGTAAGAAAGGTATCCGGTTCTTTACACCCATCATTCGAAGCATAACAGAATTATTATGCTGCTATTTTAAGATAATATGCCGTTAGAGCGTAGCCCTTTCCCGGTCATCATGATTATTTGTACTATTGTATTACTATTGTACGACCTATTTGCACTACAGCCATAACATCACCGAACCTACTATCTTAAAAATAATCATGAAATCCAGTTAACGGTAACAGTTTGCGAAAGTTTCGCCATTCATAACAATTTTCCGGAGCAAACCGTCTGATGTAAGACAAATAAAGATTAGGTTAATAACATTAGACATCGGAGCACGTACAAACCGGTATACGAGGTCTACAGTTCATAATACAAAAAACGAGTTCTAAAATTACGTAAAAGATGACACGAAGCTAACCGGAAGAAGTCGGAAATATCGGTCACTCAATAAATTAAAACTAATCACCATAATATATTTTCCCAAGACCAGGGGAAATTCAAAAGAGAAACGGCAAACTAGTTCCAAAGCGAATTAAAATACCAAATTTACATTACTCAACGAAGGGCATTGATGACAAAATTATATGATGTAATAATGTTGCCTAAAGACGATACAAATCAAAATTTTAACTTATTGATATGGGTCATATGTTAATTTTATTGTTGGTTGCTAAAATGTCATCAATGGGAATCTATTAATATTAATCGTATCGTATATTACTTAAGTAGGTAACTTTGATGGTGCAAGAGAGGGAAAACACATTTCGGACGGAATAATTTTGTACAATAAATAGATTACATTGTTATTAAATATGAGCTCTGGAAAAAATACGACTCTCCTAGTACCTACACGAGCAATCCGTAACATATTAAACATGTTTTCCAAGTAGCTAGGCGACGAATGGGAGGTAATGTGAGGAATACTTTCGAGGAAAGGAAATGATAAAATCACCCATCATGATTCGATTTTTTTCCATTTATATTTAACATATATATTAATAACGTGAGAAATCCTTGAAATAGAAGGGAAATAAAAATATATATAATATAATATATTATTTTATTAACAAACATTGCGACGTTGTGCGACATCCGATAGTAATTTTTTTTTTGGATTCTTAATATGGAAAAGTAAACCTACTATCATCTAGCTTAATTCGTCAAATTAAATTATTATTAATTAGTTATACATTTTTGTTTTGGTTTTTTTCTAAGTAGACACATACAAATGGACTATATTATTTTCATTACATCATTGTCATTGCGCCGGCACAATCCGCGCAATTTACTTAAATCTTCCAATTGCACTCACCATTACCGTTACACTCAATAATAAGTCCACTGCCGAACATAGGCCTCCCCCAGAGATTGCCTCATGGCGCATTCATCATCATCATATGCGCTTACTATTCAACAACAAGGAACAAACACAAGCTGGAGCTACCAGTTTCTCGACTCCACAGAGTCAGTAATTTATTCTTGGGGCAATGTATATGCTATTACAACAAAGTCCAAGAAAATATACAAGGTCTCTCCTTTACCAAGTTTAAATACTTAATTAAACAAAAACTGTATAAAAAGGGTTGATCGTCATCATCACCATTACAACCCTTCACAAGTCCACTGCTGAACATAGGCCTCCCCCAAGTAATGCACTAATCAGTCCTGAGCCACCTTCATCCATAGACTTCCTACATATCTTACCAGGTCGTTACTCCATCTAGTGGGGGGTCGCCCTACACTACGCCTACCGGTACGAGGCTGCCACTCGAGAACCTTTCTTCCCCATCGGTTGTCGGTTCTTCGAGCTATATGGCCGGCCCATTGCCACAGCTTATATCCGTTGGGCTATGTGGGGTTATTATGTATAGGTTGATAATAATGTCGAGCTGTTTCTAAAATAGTTTGTAAATATTTTGTGACCGCTGGATTTCTTGCTGATTCTTCCCAGGACGATAGGTTTTTTTCGAACTAGTGGTAACGTAAAATATTAACTTTCAATAAGAATTACTTGTAATCTATATTAAATAAAAATATTCTATTCTATTCTATATTATATTATAAAGAAATGTTATTGAAAATAACATATTGTATGAATTAAAATAAAATAAATATATTTTTATATTTATATTTATATATATTTATAATAATAATATTTTAAAATAAAATTTTATTTTATTTTAATTCATACAATATTAAACATTTTATTGTTAATAAATAATAGTGTTGTGTTTCCATATACGATTAAATAGCCGTAGCAATACATAACACAGGCACGCAAAATTTACACCTAACTAGAATAGTTACCAATTCTTAAAACTGGAATGCGATGAACCGATGAATATACACTAAAGCATTAGCACAGAAAGCCTACCAACTTATTATGATGTTCGAATGAGACATCCTTCGCAGTTAATTTATGCATAGGCGTTGTATCGAAAAACTTGTATAAATATGTGCTTCTGTACGTTATCAAATCATAAACCGCCGAAACTCGGAACAGACAACAAGAACCTCCTCTTGGCTGGCTTCGAAGCGTTTAGCTCATAGCCATGGCGTTTGTTGTAAGTCACCTAAATAAACCAAAATAAATTTTAAATTGTATTAAAGATATCAATAAAATCACTTTCTTGTTTGTTTCAGATTAAGCTGCTATTTTTAACAGCGATAGCATATAATGTTAATGCCGGGGTTCTTACTGGACATCACAGCGATGATTCCTTTTTATCTTCAGCACTAGATTCTCCTTCAGCTAACTTTGGGCCACCATCGACATCTTATGGACCGCCAGACTCAGCTGTGGATATAAGTGGACCAGGAGCAAGTGCTGAGGGAAGCTTATTAGCTGACGATCAATCTTCTGGCGCCATCAGCAATGGGCATATAGGAGACGTGAATACCTTTTCAAATGGACCCGACTTAAGCAGTGGTCCCGGCGATGCAGGCATTGCAAGTTCAGGGCTAAGCGCTGGCACTATCTCTAGCGGTGCATCAGCATTCGGTTCTGGCGGACTTGAGGGTGTATCAATTGGAGGACCTGTCCTGGGAAACAATGGTGGAGCAATTCTGGATACTGCGTTCAATGTTGGGACCACAGCCGTTGGACCACCGCGTGTGATAGGTACAGCTGTTACAGTAAGTCGAGGAGTACCTACCGCTTCCAGGTATGAACTTCAATCCGTCGTCCAAAACGTTGTACGTCGTATTCCAATAGAAGTAACTCGTCATGTGCAGGTTGCTATACCCCAACCCGTACCCGTTCCAGTGCGTCAGGAAATACGAGTTCCCGTACCACAACCCTATCCCGTTCACGTTGACGTTGTCAAGCACGTTCCTTACCCAGTCCACAAAACCGAGCACGTGGAGGTTGAAAGACCAGTACCAGTTGAAGTCGTAAAACATGTGCCTTTTGAAGTCATTAGGAAAGTACACGTCCCAGTTGAAAGGCCGTACGAGGTCATCAAGAAGATACACGTACCTGTAGAAAAGCACGTTGAAGTGCCCGTTCCCGTATGGAAGCCCTATCCTATTCATATTATTAAACACGTCACCCACTACAAAAAGAAGAGCTGTTGCTGGTAAATAAATAGGAAACAATCGTGATCGTACCAAATAGTCAATACAATTGTAAATATTGATAGTCATTAGTTTTATAAACTGTGTATATTTTTCTAAGATTTTTTTTGTAATTATATCGGTCATTTTTGAAACCATCATAATTATTTTTATTTTACATTACATTCCATTAATTTCGGCATTACAGCCCATCACAAGTCCATTGCTGAACAGAGGTCTCCCCTAAATAATACAGCGAAGCACGGCCTTGAACCACCTACACCTACATCCATCTACTTCCTGTATCTCCTACCAGGTTCTCACACCACTTACTTGCAAAAGAGAGCCATAAAAGCAATTTATAAACTAGGTCCGAAGGAGTCCCTTATAGAAATTTTTTAAGAAATAAATATGTTAACTACGGCCTCGCAATATATTCACGTAAATTGAATGTACGTACACTAAAACAAAAACAGTTTAAATAAAAAAATAATGATGTACCAGTACCAGTTACTCGACTCCAAAGAGGCAGTACTTCTTTCATGGGGCAATCTATCTATCAAAAGGTTTAAAATTTTTATTAGGCAAAAATTGTTTAATAAGAGTTATTATACTACTAAAGATTTGGTTGATAATAACCCCTGGGAATGGGGTGATCGCTACCATGATGTTTTTAATGTCTTCGTAACAATTGCATAATATTATATTATAACTTACTTATGCTTTAAAAAAAGATTCCCACTGGGTTTCTTGCTGGTTTTTCCCAGGACAAAGGCTTATTCCCGAACCAATGATAAAATTAAAAATGACTTTCAATAATAATCACATGTAATCATAATTGAATTATTGTCATATCAATATTGAATAAAAATGATTTTATTCTATTCTATTACACACTCTAACTTAGCTTAATACTATATAATTATTATTATAAAAATTATTTTTCACTTGCATAAACAACAAGAAAATCATGATCTTCTTCATACTATCGTCTAATGTAAAATGAAAATGGATGTCAAAGCGGGGCGCGGCATTTGGCATACATGAATAATTTCAAGTATATGCCCAAGATGCCGTCTCAGCAGAAGTCGCTCGAGATGTTTGTCACAGGCGCCGCCGTTTTGCACATAATATGGAATGTGTTTAATGTGTTATTTAATCATCATTATTATTTATAAATGAGTTTTTTGTTTTATGAATGAATATAAATTAATATTATAGAAAATAGCCCATATCATGTTAGTAAATTACTTGTAATAGGACGTGCTCAAAGGTTTTTCAGTGTGGGCTGTTCGTTCGATGTGGACGGTGGTTTTGACTCGCAAGGCTATTCTCGAGATGTATTGATGTATTCGAAATAAGTATTGCGAGTTTCTATAAGATTCATAAAACCGTGCACCTAAAACCATGTTGTTGGTTGCAAATGATTTAAGATGCATAAGTGTACGTGACCGTGAGTTCTTACAATAAGTTGGGCATAGTTATAGCATCTTTGGTCTGAATTTGAAACAGGACATCTAAAGAAAAAGATCACATATCTCAGACATTCAAATTTGCTGTATAAAAATTTAATTAGTTCTAGATACGAAAATACACATTTTAATAAGATAATATTATAGTGACGTTTTATAAATGAAAAAGACAATAAGAAAAAAACAACTTCAATGAAAGGAGCACTAAATAAACAGTGCGCTCAATATTTATATCATACATATAGTAATAAGAACTAGGGAACAGCAAAAACAAATTAATTAAATTATAAAGTTATGTCTGCCGACTGCTCTACACACCGAAAGCTTCGAACTGAACTGGATGCTTAACCTCGCTACATGCTCGTCACTCAGTAGTCATAGTAAGTTCTATATATAAAAAACTGAATGACAAACGAAATCTCAGTCCACCTCATGGTTAATTGCTATTGCAGCTCATGGATACTTACAACCCGCAAAGAACTTCAAACAAAGAAGGTCATAGAAGCACAGATGTGCTGTCACAAGGTCCATGTCAATCAATCATTAATTGTTCAACCTGGGTCGATGGTGACCCACTGGTAAGGTGATCGGATCATGACGATATGATCAGAATACGAAAATGGACGACAGGTGTGTAATTAATATACCGTTACCAAGATTACGGTAAGCGCCGCCTGCTACTTTATTGTCTATATTCTTGGCCATAAATGATAAGAAAATCTTATCCTAATAGACCCCCAAGTCACGCATGCACTCAATTCTCTCAGTTATAACTTTAACTTGATAGGCTGTAAATAATCAATGAATGACGGATAATATCTTGAAAGAGCAGAGAGGAAAACGGGTAATATGTTCATAACCGATTTATCGGTAGTTGTGATCTAGTGATAAAAAGGCAGACCGCGGTCGTGCCACTGTTGGTATACTATAGTAGCCATGCCCTTTCTGCACTTAGTTAGAAGCTTTCCGTGAGTATTATATCTCTATGCCTTTCCGTGATACAAATTCAGTGTCGAACGGTTATTATTCTCTGTGAAATCCATAATAAGTCTAAGGATAATTTGGCGGAAACATATCGGCTGAATTTAATTAGATTTTATAGTGACCTTTTCATGACATTATATAACGATAGTGCGAAATTGTGCATTTCGACTACGTTTTTATTATAAAATGTCACATGTAGCTTCCATGAACTTTCATTAATATAAATAAGTATTACGAACCAGATTTGTAAATATCCTTAAAGTTACTAAGTTATAGGCTAAATTAATTTATCGACAACGTTTTTTGTTTTACTAATGACACATTGTGTGTGAGGTGTGGTACGAGTATCTATGGAATGAGAAAACGGCAATAAAACAAACTTCATAAAATAATGAAGGCAAGAATTTTATAGCTACCATATTTTGTATTATTTTAAATGTCATATGTATACAGAGTTCAGTTGATTCTCCCTTTTTTTTTTTAACATGGGGAAATGCCTACGCATACCCGCCTCGCGGGGGCAAGGACGGGTTATGTCGGACTCGCACCGACGAAAACCCCATGGTGTTCCACCTTCGTCGCATATTGGCAGGGCTACGGGAACGCTTTCGCACACTTCCGCGGCCCTACCAGCGACTGCCGCCCCATGGCAGCACCTCCTCGGGAGAGGAATATTCCTCCCCGTTCTCCTTCCCAAGTAAGGCGCACCAGAACACATGGCACGCCTTCCTCCCCGGCCTCCAATTGCATCTGCGCACCCGACGCCCCCGCGTCCGATGCGCGAAGGCCATGGGGCCAGGAAAAACGAGCACTTAGAAGTACTAGCCTTCCCAACCCCAGCGGTGGATCTGGTCGGTGGCTCCGCCGCCTACGAAGATTCGGCTGCGGAGGATAGGGAGAGCGGCGCCTCGCAATACCGACAATCCTCTCCCCCCGCAGCCCCATCACCACCGCATCAACGGTGCGGCCCCGTTTGAGTCGCGGAGGATAGGGCGAGTGGCGCATCGCTATACCAACACTCCTCTTCCTCCGCGACTCCACCTCGGCTGCAGCGGTAGAGGGTGCGGAGTCCCCACTCGCTGCAGTCCACCAGCACACATCCGAAGTGGGCTCCCGGAGGAGGAGGCACTCGGAGTGGCCACTTCAGGCCGGCCCTTCACCTCAGGCCAGCCACGTGGGTTCCTCTTTGTTCACCGTGGGCGACCAAGCCACGGTTACTAAGCCCCCCCGCCACGACAAGGCGGGAACCCGTTCGGGGGGGAGTTGATTCTCTCTATGCTATTAACTACTCTGTGGTTTAAACAAAATTTAATCTTGTATAAAATCTTTTTAATTCCATAAAGTATTGCCAGAAGATATTTTTATTTTTTTAAAGTATTCATTTTGAAAAAACGGCAGTCTTACGGGGTAGTTCCGTTAAAGTTATTGCATCCTTTATAGATATAATTTCACCTTATTTAGCTATACTATTTTTAAATCAAGCATCGAATTTAGTGTGTTGCCTGATTTTCTGAAACATAGTAGTGTTATATTTTATTAATATCTGGTAGTTCATTGGATACCACCAAATTAAAACGAATTTCTGTACTACCAACATTTAGTAATTTTTTAAACAAATCATTCTAGATCAGATATTAAGTTTTTTTTCTAATATAATTAAATTTCTTCATAAAAATCAATTTAGTTTTACGAGGGGTAGCTAAACAACCGACACTGGTCTTGAGCTTATTAAAGTTGCAATGGGTATATTTTGTGATATTTCCAAGGCCATCGACTGCGTTTACCATGAGACATAAATCAGGAAGCTAGAGCACTTTGGTATCAAGTAACACTTAAATTTGTTACTTTATATTTAAGTAATAGAACGCAGAAAGTTATTATCAAAAGTTCTTCGGGGCACCTGTGCTAATAGGTTTGCCTCAGGACTCAATTTTCGGCAATTCCTATTTCTAGTATCATAATCATGATATTATTGTTTTCTTTGCGATGATACTTCCTTAATTTTCAAACATAAACGGCCATCATTCGAAAAGACGAAGTGAATAATGCTATATCAAAATAATTGCAATGCTTTAACGTTAATTCTTTAAATTTAAATGGCAATAAAACGAAATGTATAAAATTAAAATAATGAACATAAGTTTTCAAATTCTTGTAGAGGCGTACGTGTAAAATTATGTACGGTTTCATCAATTTAGTAATTTATTTCCATATTGATTCCGGCATTCATAAAGTTTTTTTTAAACACAAGCGTCGTGGTCTTTTTTAAATGGCTGTTTCCTTTTCTTAAGGGGGGGGAGGGGGGCCCTAAAAGAAAGGAAAAAAGGTGTGGGGGGTGGTGTTTGTGGGGGGGAACCTTTTGTCATTCCAGGGTGAAACATCTGATTTCTTTCTTGGGCCCACCCTCTCCAGGGGGGGTTTGTGTGTTGTTTTTTCCCCTAAAAAAAATTACATAACTGGCCATTTTAGACCCCATATATTTAGACTATTAAGCAGACTAAGCTCTGCAGCTCATGCTGTAAAAAAGTTTAGAAGTCTAGTGTCGAGACAGCTAGATCAATTTATTGCAGTTATTTCCATAGCATGATATCTTATGGAGTTTTGCTATAGGAATACGGCTAGTTTAAAAATTCTTTCTTCTAAGGAGAAAAGGGTCATAAGAGGTAATTTCATACTAAAACCGAGAAGGCTCTCAAATAAAAGTGTTATGTATCAATGTGGGTGTCGTAAGAGGTGATAAAGGGAAACAAATCAGGCGAGGTAGGCAGCGTCTTCCTTAACAACAAGAAAATAAAGTCGGGCTCACCTATAGCTTTACACAGAATCACCAAAGGGTATTGTTGATGATCATAGAAGGTATGCGCATCAACTTCGCAACAAATGTGGAGGACATGTATAAAGATGTACTTGGAGTCATGCATTCCTCCGAAATATACGCGATAGAGTCACGCTGCAGCTATATTAGAGTTGTAGCGCGAATGGGGCGTGTCGACTGAAAAAAGACCACTTTCTCATAGAATACCAGCGTAAAATAGCCTTAAGTGTGCGTAAAGAACCGGAAGTTCGAGCCGGCCAGCAATAACTGCCGCGTGGCTTTACCACTCTACCACGGTTTCTCGACTTTTATACTTCATATGAGTGAACGAACTACACACAAGGTGATTTCTTACTATTTGTATCAATCTGAAATCTTTCACATTTACAAGCATTGAAAAGTCATTGTAGTTGTATACACAATGACATATCAAGTTATTCATTTACAGTATAAACAGATCCGAACAGAACAGAACCGCGCGACATTACCTTAAACCGGAAATTAATAGTTCGATATGTTGTCGTGCGTACTCATGATATCTTAAACAGTTTAACTTCATTTAATGAATCGAAATTCAGAAAAATATTCTCGGTAATCTCGGAGCATGTCCATGTTAACATTATTATCATTCAAAAATAACACTACCTACGCTGATCATTAGTAATGTCTCAATATTTACGTGAAATCTGGCAACGATTATCACATAGTGAGAGGCACACTACTCTACGGATTACTACGTTAAGTTGAAGATGTTACATCTAATAAAGTCAACACTTCGTTTTGTTTCTTTAAATAGAGCTTCGAAAACTTTCAGCTCAATTCAAATAATAATAGGTTTTTAGGACGAAATAAATAACAAACTTGTTTAAACCGTCCATGGCGTTGGAGTTAAATTCAGCAAGACCTGTAACAGAACAACCCAAAAACTCACCAATGATACTCTTAATCCTTAAAGATGGGAGATGAATCTTCAGTCTCCAAGAGATATGACAGTATACAAAAAGACTAAAAAGACAAATATCTAAATACATGCGACGAAACTTACGTAATTTCAATAGATCTCGTATTAAACGTAACACCAGCGTAAATACGTGGTAGAGCCATGCTGCAGTTATATTGGATGTATAGTTGTAGCACGAATGGGTCGGCTCGACCGGGGAAGGACCACGCTCTCACAGAATACCAGCGTGAAACAGTAGCTTAATACAGCTGTATTTCGTATGGTGAGTGTAGAGAACCGGAGACCCTTTTTACTGGAAACGAGGCATTCCATCTTAGTCCTCACGGGTGACAACGGATCTGCATTTTAATTCATATTCGAGGATAGATGTAGAAATCTATGGGCCAAAGCAACCACTTACCATCAGGTGGACTGTGTGCTCGTTTGTCACCCTATCCTATAAAAAAAATTAAATAAAATAGCAGCTTAATACTGCTGTGTTTCGTATGGTGAGTGTAAAGATCCGGAGACCGTTTTTTACTGGAAACGATGCATTCCATCTTAGTATTCAGGGGTAAAAACTAATCTGCGTTTTGGTTATTAATCGAGGATAAATGTACATGTCCATGGACCACAGCATCTTCTTACCATCAGGTGGACCGTTTTCCACCCTTACTCTATAAAATAAATGGAAAAACCAATGGAATTTAATCAAGGATTCAAAGATTTTGACAGAAATCTATCACATGAAAGAGTCCATATTAAAGCCGACGTCTGAGAAGTCCTTGATTCAATTACTATTTATTTGATCTAATTTAGTAACAGTGTCAACGAGTTTGAGCTTCACGGACTTTGATGTAGAAAAAGTGCTAGCAAGTTTTTTCCGCCACGCTTCTTTAAACAATGCCAAACTTCCCACAGTTTTAGATAGAGCCTTGTGGAATATTCAGAAACCATAGTAGGGTAACTGACATTGTTTGTCATTATTGGAATACTACTTTCATAGACACTTTTTCAGCCTCTCATCTAAGGTAATAATCTAAAGCCTCTAATCAAAAACTTCGTATAGATCAGAGGCGGCCTCAGAGGCGCAATTCAAGAGATGACTACGTATTTGTGGCAATTGCTGTAGAGACTATCAGTCCTGAGGGTCCACGTGCAGTGAAGTTCCTAAAAGAACTGTATCCGCGACTGATAATAAGAATACTGTGTCTTTTCTCGCTCAAGGGCTAAGTAAAGCCATTCAGCGAGGATACTAAGCCAGTGTTCTTGGCACGATGCCACGTAGAGTAGGACTGTTTGGTAAATAAGGTTTTGAGGTTTAGGTTTCTTTAATATATATATATATATATATATATATATATCATCACGGTATCTCTACAACTATAATAACCCAATTGACTTTACCATCTAACAAAAATTGATTATTTACATCTAGGTTCCGCAAGTCTCTTATAGATTTTGAAATCATCCAACCGATTTTGATGAAACATTATGTGTGTATTTAAATTGGACCCGATAGGTCCCATCGCTATTATTAGAATACATTTTAATTTGTAATAATTAAATTATGCATGTCTTTTTTTTTCACAGAGTAGGTACTCAATCACGGGAAATAAAATTAATGTGTTAATTTAGTATGAAACATTTTATTCGGAAATATTAAAAATATAGAAAATACTTTTCTACAAATAAGGAAAGTGTCCAAAACTAACTAAATTAATCATTGTAAATATTGTTTTTCTATGTTTTCAAATGCAATTATCAATCTATTCTCACTTCATATTCTTCACTTAATATTTTGTCCTCAAATTAATCTACTATAATATTTGTAAACATTTTATGTGTACTAAGAAATATAATAATATAATACATTTATCACAAAAATTATAAGCCTAAGTGGTCACCTACTCCTATTTTTTTTAAATTTACCAGCTTTTAAACCAGGTCAAAGATACTTTCAAAATTGGCTACCCAATTGGATACATAGAAGTCCATAGACATGTATTTACATATTCGTTCGAATTAATTCAAAAAAACGTAACCGATGTCAACGCCCTTTACAAAATCGTAGACTCATTACAATTTCGATGATATTTAGATAACTCATGTTATATAAGACTGATATTTCGTCTTCGTTTTGTTCAGACGTTCTCCTGCGCTCTCCAAAAGCACTTGCACATTGTCGCCATGAATTATTTAGTAAGTGTTTTAGTAAAAATAGCCTTAGTTAATCTAGTTTTTCGATAAAGAGAAATTTATTTAAGTTCAAATTAAAGGTATTATGTTATAACATATTACGTATGTGAAGCTATATTATACGGAAAGTTATTTTTAATTAATTTTCTGTATAAATTAAAACTCGTCATCAGTCGGTTATCATAATAATATTTATGTCCTCCTGACTGTCTGGCTACGGCAAACACTTCCAAATGTGGGAAACAATTCCGGGAAGCCATCAAACGTTCTGAAGACAATACAGTTTATTTGTCAATCTTAGCCGTAACTGATGAAACGTATGTCTACTAAGATGAAAGATAAAAATGTCAGTGACATGAGTAAATCAACGACCATCAATAAGAACTGTAAACGAACAATCTGTGCACATATTATTGGCTCCCGATTAATTTAAGAAAAGTCTTTACGATTTAAGGAAAGTCCTTCTAACTAAATAAGTCCCTTAACTACGGCGCCACAGTCTTCGCAAAAATTGACATTTTTCTGCGGAATTTCTTTTGTGAAACAGATACTAGCTTAAACCTGAGACCAATTATAAACAAGTGTTTGTAATAAGGCTGATAGTGATTAGCGTCTCTAAATGACAAAGTTTTCTGTAGAAGTGATTACAATTTTAGTATATGGTTATACTTAACTCTATCTTTATTTTGCAGATATGTTTTATATTTGCGGTTCTTGCAGTTCAAATAGTACATTCGAAACGCTTGGATCCAGGACCGCAAACATTTCCTGAACAAATATCAGCAACACAAAATTCACAAAAGAGATATACTACAAAGGAGATCGTCGTATATCTTACACCTAGCCAAATTAGCGCTTTACGAGAAGGCAGAGGGTATATTGATGCTCTCACAACCGATCAAGCTGAAACTTCTGAAGGAAACCAGGAAGAATCAGAAGAGTCTCTACAAGAACAAGAGGACAATTTCCAATCCTTTGTAGAAGCCTCTGAGGAATTGGAAAAGGAAAACGATGAGATACCATCATTGATACCAGCGGTAGATTCTAATTTGGAGGAAGTTAAAGAAGACCCGCAATTTTCATTAGTATACAATCAACCTCAAGATAGGAAATTTGTCCCATCTCCTGAAGACAATTACGCTTACTTAAGTTTTTATCCCGAATCTGAAACACAAACTGAAGAAAATCGACTTGAATCAGAAGAAAGCGAAGAAGAACCGGAAGAGGCTCAGCCAGAATCCCTGCCCGAGACTCAGTCGGAAACTCCTCAACTGCAACTATTTAAGCTTGTGCGGTATGAAAGTGATACTGTAAAAAGCACACCCACAACAACAAAGGCTCCTCAACAAAAGTCTCCTAAAGAACGCCGTCTACTAGTGTTGAAAAAAAATCGCTCACAGTTGAGAAAGGCATCACTTGTGCAAGGAAAAACCACTACTTCCGTAGAGCAACCACAAACTGAGCCTGAAACTATCTTGTCAAAACTGCGGTTCTCTGCAAGATACAGTAATCAGAGACAAACAACTGAAAATGACGACAAACGCAGAAAAAATATATTAGAAAAACAAAAGGCCCTTATTCAAGCCGAGGCTCGTAATAAAAACGCTCCTGTTGTAGATCGTAAAGAGCTGAAAGTAACAAAATACCAACAGACACCTTCCATAAAACGTGTAAAAGTTCCCACGCCCGTCTTAGTACCGTTAAACGAACTGATTAAAGTAAAAGTTCCTCGCCCCTTCCCAGTGCCACTGGAAATTAACAAGCCAATTTTTGCCCAGACTGCAAAAGACAAAAAGGTGGAAGTGGAGGATACTTCAGCTCCAGCTCGCACTGAATGTACATATGCCCCTGAAACATTATCAACTGCAGCTGACAAGGCATCCTTAGAAGATCGCCGTAGACTTGCTGAAGCCAGGAAAGAAATTTCTATAGACGTTCCTTCGCGTAAACCAAAGAAAGTAACCATTATTCGACATGTCTGGGAGAAAAAATGAATCAAAATATTTCTTTGTTATTTTTGTGTAATTTTTGTGTGTTGATTTGAATGAATTTAGGTGATATGTTATTTAATTAAAGTTTTTGTACCAATTTGTATGTTTTATAAAACCTTACATGACAATCATGCATATTTAAATTAGTATACAACTTTTAAATATTACATATGAGTAGGTACATCTCAGACCAACAATAAAAAATAGAAAGAACGCCTATTCACGTTCATAACCTACGCATAAATGCTCTTCAGTTACGACCACTCAATATATCGGCAATCTGTTTGATAAACTTCCGTCTAGGGCGTCCTTTCCCGATTATGCCGTTCACCTCTGCAACATAAATTTAATTTGTCACTGTTTCCTCATTCATTCTTTCTAGATGAACAAACCATCGAAGCATCCCTTTCTTAATCCTAGTCACAACATTATCTTACTTCCCACAAATTTATCATCCTGTCATTCCGAATTACCCAACATACTCCATAATAACCGCATTTCTATAGCATTTATTATACTCGTACTTTTGCCAGCACTATGAACTGCCATACAATATAGGTAAACACATAGTAAATTAGAATGTCATTTCAATAGTTACGTTAAAATCTTCATCGTCAATTTTTCCAAGCTTAAATGTATATTAAACTTTAAAAAATGTAAAAACTTTAAAAAAGAGTAAACTAATTTTCAGATTATTTAATAGAGTAATTTAGTAGTCGGGGCTTTACTTATTCGATACTGGAAGTCGTTTTTTTAAGTTTAATTATCTGACACTTTTGGTAGGTAGTAATATTATGTTGTATGAAATGTCGTCTATTAAGCTTTAACACTGGTTTTGAAAAAAACTCTGTCCTGGGAAGAACCATCAAAACAAAGTGTTTCTTGTGATGTGTTAATAACAATTATTTACTCATTAGTGGTATTAACCCATATTAAACAATTTTAGTTTAATAATCAATTGAAACATTTTGACAGATAGGTCCTACATTTCTGGAACTTGGTTGTAAAAGCGTATACATTGGCCCCAAGAAGTAATTACCGACTCTTTGCAGTCGGGTAAATGGTATAACTTTGTGATTGATCCTAATATTTACAGAATGTACAACACTATTTTTAGATGTATAAATTCTGTAATTACTATAAACGAAGTAGTTCTATAGAATAAACATTTAGTAAAATCAATAGTCCATTTATGTACTTTCGGTATTTATAAAGAAAAAACGGCTGACTAGTATTTCGTAATTATCAGTTTTGATATACACACTATCTGTGCCCGCGGCATCTTTCGTGGTGAGTTATGTCTTTTGTTATGATGAGTGATGTTTATTTCTTCTCTTCAATAACACGAAGACACAAAAAGATACTATTCTGAATAAAATAATTCAGTTAGTTAATCGTTCAGACTAACCAACGAACGAATCCACAAACAAACCAAGACACGAAAATAATTATTTTAAGTGGTTAGTGTAAATCTCTTTATAAAAAAACTTCTTTTTTTACTATGTGGTGCTAAAACTACCTTAATTTTTGCCTATAAAAATTTGAACAACCTTTGCCCCTCGCCCCCGAAGGGATTGTTTTGTAAAATCACGGAATACGTTTCATTTATTTTATTTACAAAGTACTTTTAGTAAGTTTAGAGTCAATCACCCTCCGTAAAATACTTGTTTTTATACAAATTGTAGTACCTAATTACACCCTCTTATGGGTCGTAAATCAAAATTTTTTCGTAGTGATATTTACATATTAAAAACAAGCTATTGTCCCAACTTCATACTTCTATGTACAGTTTTTAACTGTGTTTAAAATATTTTTCATACAAACTTTGCACCCTAGTTTTAAAAATATTTAGGGTAAATTTTATACAAACCAAAAATAAATATTTTATTATTTTAATTCGAGAATATTTGCACCACTTCTTAAATTAGAAACCATTAATTATTTTTCACCATAATAACTCAAACACCACCTGGAAAATCGCAAAACGCATATTTATTTATATACTCGTAATTAGAGAGAACGTTCTGTAAGTTTCCAATCAATCGCCATGTATCATAAAAAGTTTAATATAAACTATAACCTTGTTTCACCGTTAGGGGTTAGATTTTTCAAAATCTGTGGATGCCTATTAATTTCATATTTCGACAATTTTTTTCGGTTTGTAATGAATAAACTCTAAAACTACTAAATCGATTCTAACAATTCTTACACCTACCTAAATAGAAAGCTACATTATTATTGGTTATATTTTATTTGAAAACTAATAGTGTAAACAAGGATATCTAAAAATTGCTTATAAAACCATTATTGCTTATGAAATCATTCAGTTTGGAGGTAACTTTGGATTTTTTTCTATCGAGAAAATTTTATGGAATCATGTTTTCGTCTAGCATAGTACTTAACATTAATCCTCAACTTTACCATATATTTATTTCAAAATTAATGCTGCAATATTTTCGGTATAACAGAAGATCTTGCTAAGCCATTTGAGGATATATTCCCCCTTAACCTTTTATATGGTCCTTTTACGAGTAATACTTAAATCGACTAACTACATAAAATGAAATTTCGAGAAAACTCAATTTAAACGTTTGCATTCCGTCGGAAACAGAAATTGTCTAAAAACATTTTTGTATAAAGAAAGATTTTTTTATTAACTGGTGAAATAATGATTTCTAGTGCTTATGTTTTGTAAGATCTCTTTTTCTTTGATTTCTAGTAATAATTATGAATGGAATACAAATATTTACATCCCTACTACATTAAGTTATAAAAGAATAAGATTTTGCAATATTTCGGAATAACTACAACCTAGCCACTTACGCGCTTTTCCTAGTACCAAATAATCAAAACAATATTAAACGAGCGAAACGAGAAAAAGTCGCGATAAAAGCTTTTGAAAAGAGATAAGATTCTCTGTTACTGCTTAGCTGCCTTAAGGTCTAATGTTTTGAGGTTTGATCCTATTTAGCATTTTTCTAGTCTCGTACAACAAAGTATTACAACAAACTTCCAGAAAATATACAAATTACCAAGTTTAAATATTTGTGTGAAACCTTTTATTTCATAAAGTGATGCACTTAAGGGGATATAGTAAGTCAGCTCAAATTCTAATTTCGTCCCCACTTGCCCCCGCGTCGTATGCTATGTACCGACATGTTTGTAATCACTAATACTGTAAGTAGAAAGATCGTTAGACACTTATTTCATTAGGTTTATCATATTTATGCCTGTTTCTTAACGCCAAGCCAGTCGCTTCTTATTTTTATTACGGTTATTTCCCATTTTAATTTTACGTCGTCCTGTTGCGTAATGTATATTCTGATCGTAAGCGACACAACCTCCGCCTTCAAAGGCCGAAGAAGAAGAAGTTATATTGGTATGGTATACATGAATTATACAATTATGATAATAAGTGAACTAGAAACACAAGATGATGACAGTTGAGGATAGTAGGATAAATACATGAAAGGATAAGAAGTATGATGGGAAACATTAGACTTACAATTAATTTAAAAAAGCCGTAACAAAGAATGATTTTTGAAGAAGGAAGATGAATGTACTGGAGAGCAAGCGGATTCGTTTTTCAGCTCAGTTGCGGCTCGTTCCGATTCTTCAAATTTCAAACGGAGATCGGTAACTTCGGCTTTCAACGTGGTGATGTCTTTCAACAATCTGGTCACGTCTACGTGATCGAACGTCACGGGAGGCAGCTTGTAGAGATCACGCGCGACGAAAGTTGGGATATCATCAGGATCGGTCTCATTGAACAGCCTGAAGATGTCTTGCAGGTCTTTCTTACCGCGTCCATCTCTAGGACGTGTGATAAGACGGATTTGGGTCACGGCTGAATTCGCAATTGGATGATTTCGCCCTCAGTAAAGCTCAGTATCTGCTCCTCACCGAGGACGAAATCGTCCAAGGGAAGAAGGTGTTCAAGATCAGTATCTGCTCCAGGGACACCTGGTCCATGACGTCCAGTTTTTGTTGAACAAAGGCCAGGAACTCGTTAACTACGACGGTATCGGAACGTTTAGGTTGACACGCCATTTCGAATTATTTTCGCGCAGTTGGTATGCGTACGCTACGAAAATATTGTAGGTTCGGCATTAGAGCCGCCACATAATTATGAAGCGACTACACTGACCGGCAGTAGAAACGTGACTGATATTCGCGCGTGACTTATATATATATACAAGAATTGCTCGTTTAAAGGTATAGGATTCGTGTTCTAAATACCCCTGTACAAATTTATATGTGATATCTTCATCCATTTTATTATTAAACTCAATATAAAACGTATAATAATTCAATAAACAGTATCGTACAAACTTTGTGTCGAGTTTAATTATAAAAGTACAATCGTACGTTTTGGCGCGCAAACGTTGCGTCCTGTCGACTTATGCACTGAACTATGATATTGTTTATACTGATTATGTTATCAGTAAAGCCTATAAAAATCTTGGTTTTGTTCTTCGCATCTGTAAACCATTCACGGACGTTAATGCAATCAAAACTGTTTCTTTGCGTATGTCAGGTGTTTTGAATGATATGTTCCAAAATTTTTTACAAAAACCTTGAGCAAATTTAAAAAAATATTTTTTAATTATTTTCATTTTCGTTGTAAAGAATTTATTACACAGATAGTTGCACGAGCACATTATGGAAGGTGTTGTACTTGATTGGCTTTTTTGTATATGTGATAAACAGTAATGTTGATTGTCCAAATCTTGTCTCAAGAATCTTCTTCCGTACCCCAAAATACCGTACCCGCAATACAACCTTGTTACAGACTCCCTGGCACCATACAAATTACTGCCGAATCTCTGTTCTCTCGTGACTCGCTCGCACGTATAATGAACAGTTTGGACACATTGACATCTTTGTGAAATCTAAGGTTGTGTCTAGGCATGACATCATGAAAACCATTAAGGAGCATAGCAGTTGCTGTTAAAACCAGATATTCTCTTTTCTTTTTTTTAATATGTTTTTTTTCTGCCAGT